TGTGTTGCTCAATACGGAATGCTGCAATGTAGAGGGGTGAAAATCACAGTGCTGCAAGAAACATGTCAATTTTCAATAGATATGGCACTGACATATATTAATACTCCTGACAAGCCAAGAATGTCAGATTTCTAAGCACAATATGAATCACATTTGAATTAAGAACAGCTGAGCCTGCACAACAGATATGTGTATTTATGAAGCACAGGAAATACTAAAAGCCAGCAAGTTCAGCTGTATATATGAATATAACTAAGAACTGTTATACCACATGTATCTGGTAAAAAGCCACTTTATTGACAAGATAACTATAAATTAACAGAGAGACAAGATACTGAACATCTGGGCAAGATGTAGGGGGCCATTAAAAATGCCCTATAAAACAAGGGGTCTGCACTCATGAAAAGCTGCTCTCTCACTAAGACAGAAGGAAGGCCAATGGATTGCAAAAGCAATTCAAGATCAGCAAAGCTTTTCCTTGCTCAAAAATGGTAATTTCAAGAGTTGTGGCAACACATCTTGAGGGCAAAACCAACCAGTGTTGTACTGCAGCTTGGGGAGAAGGAAACACAAAGCACAAGAACGGCTCAATTAGCAGCAGAGGTTATCTGAAGCTATTTAACAGGTAAGCCTGAAATGGCCCATACCTGGATCACCTTTCAAAGAAGTCTGATTTAGAAGTGTTTAAAGTGTTTTCTCATATTGGCTGATAACAACTGATGAGACTCTTCAAGAAAGCAATTCATACAATTCACTTGGACATCAACAAATTAAAAGCAGTTACAGGATGTAGTATTAATAATGCAGAGATGTCAGTGTAAGATTCTGTTGTGCCCTTGGTTGTTTCGATTCACTAAAATAGTGACTGAGAAAGATGTTTGCTAAGCATTTTTGAGTCTTAACACCACGAGATAAATCAGTGAAACACTGGAATGAAACATTGGAACTGAAGGAAATGACAATGCAGGGGAAGATATTTTGGATTTATAAAGAAGTATTGATTCCTTAAGCCGAGCAAGTGGATGAAAATAAAACAAAGAGGAGTGCTCAGCTGTATCACAAACACTAACACCACCTTAGATTTCTCACTTCTATTAACAACCGATCAAAAGCAAACTCAACTACACTGCTCAAAGGTGTCTTCTCTCCCCCAACCACCACTCAAGGCACACATTATAATTATCACTGCCACCTTGATTACTATATCCCCTCATCTCCTCCTCCTCCTCACTGTTTTGGTTTTCAAGCTACTCTGCCTTCCTATGGTAAGGAAATGGTACAGAAGAGGCTGACACTGTGCCAGCTACTAGAAGGAAAATTAACTTAATCCCAAACCAGGACAAAACTAATGCCCCTGTGCCAGGCAAAGGATAGAAGGCACAGCATGAAGACTGACACAGAACATCCACAATAACCCCAAATAACAGCGATGGCACATCCCTCTGATGAAAGAACAGGACATTTAAACTGCCAAACACTTCGAAATGACAGCAGTGAACGTATTTTGGACCATGTCCTACCTCAGTCCTGCTCTATACAACTCAATTAACATTTGCTTGGTAACTGCTTTCACAGCATCCCATTTTTTTAACTATGCACTCTTAGGTCCATGCTACTGGATGTCAGCTCAGCTGGCACCCACTCATATATTCAACATGTATTGCATTCTTTACATGTATTTCATTCTTTTCAGACTCTGCCTAAATATCTTTCCATACACTTCACCCAGGCTTCTTCCTTCTTTTAGATGCCTTACAGATAAGCAAGGACAAAAAAAACCCCACAAGCATCAGTTGTTTGCTAACACATGCAAGAAACAGAAGGGTGAGCTCCATCCAGCCAAGTACCTGCTTTGAAGGTCAACCTCAGAGATTGTGTAACAGTTCTGTTATGCTCACTCTCCCTGGCACAGCTTTACAAACCTGTAATCACAGCACTACATGAGTGCAAATCCCCATCTTTAATTGCTTTGCCTGGTTCAGAGTGGGAACTTTAATTCAAGTCTTCCTCTCCTCAGGAGGGTGCCTGAACCATCAGAAAACACAGTGATTTTTTTCTGGCTCACTAACCATTAAATAGCTCACACAAAGCAGAAAAGGAACTGACTCAAATAGTCATGCAGATTATTTTATATTAAATACATTCAAACTTCTGAGCCCAACAACCCACGTACCAAGCATTTCTCCAAGATCAAAAGCCCCGTTTTCTGCTCTCTCACACACAATCCCACATCTCAACTCCAGCCTCCTACCAAACATCCTGGGCACTTTATTTTCAGACTGAGTGCTCTCTAAAAACTACTTGGTTTTGCTTCCTACCAGCTACATTAAAACCCATTATGAGATAAGTAATAAACACATAGCTGGGGGATGGATCTCAAGTAGAGCTGCTCGAGACAGGCATAGCTTGGAAGTTTCAATGACCCATGTCCTGCAGCTGGGCACTCTCTTGAGGTCTGAAAAAAATCAAGCTTCTTGGGCTGAAGCTGAATCTAAATTTCTATTAATCCCATGCAAATCCTACAGTCAATTTGTAACAGATGAGAACCTAAAAATCACACAGAACGGGCTTATAGCTGAACAACACATACACAAGTAGCTATTCCCAGCCTCACTTTATGCTCAGACACATCAGTGACCAGGGCAGCTCTAACTGCTTCAGCCACCAAGATACTACTCAAATCCTGAACCTTGTACTTCCACATAGTGAATGCAGACTGCTGGCTGCAAGCAAGCATTCAGCAATAGACCATAAAGACCTGCTGTTACACTGCCTTACATAAAATTTAATCTGCAATGGCCTTATAATTCAGTCTTTAAAGCAAAATGACTTCACATTTCATTGCAGATCTACTTGAATCTGCCATATTAGAGAACAGGCAGATACCTTAAGGAAACCTAATGGATCTTATCTTCCTCAGGGTATAAAATGGACAATTAAACTGAATTGCCTCCCACCAACTCAGGAGGAGGTATCAAAGCATTTGAGCAATTCAGGACATGTTTTTAGGGGTGAAAAAAAAAAAAAGGTCTATTGGTTACTTATAAACTTGGCCCCAAGTACAGAATCCCTGTTAGTAACTCCCTCACAAAGTGTTTAGCAGATCTGTTCCAAAAATACTCTCCTCATTAGGCCATGAAGCAAGGAACAGGACTGCAAGCTGGCCATCCAAATCAATTATTTGCTCTTTCACACTAGATTAAATGTTGAGTAACCACCACCTTCAGTGGAGCTACAATTAAGTCGGAAATGAGGACTGAATTTAGCACAAGACTTCCATTAACTCTTGTTTACTTGTGAGAGAACAGGAGGAGATGATCTTCTGATACAGTTGGAGAATACTAAGACTGCGAACAAACTACTTTTGCAAGTCAGGAGAGAAGGATCATGGCCAATGTAGTGGTCTTTAACAAAGAATAGATGCTCTTTGCTGTGCCTCAGTTATTTAGACTTCAATTTTCTCTTAAAAGCATTCACCCTTGTATAATCTACTGCCCACAAGCTTGCTATTCATGCATCCTTCCTGCAAGCATGAAGGCAAGCCTCAACAACATTCAAAACTTACCTGAGACCTCACAAACAGCAGACTGCAGCACTAGAGATCCCAGATGTGGAGGAAACAGCTGGAGTTCTGACTTCTTCATGAGACAGCTGGAGATTTCCCAATAAAAGTCAATGCAGCTTTCCATCCCAACTTTTCCCTGTTCCAGCTGCATGTTGTAGGTCCCTGGGGAATGCACTGGCTGAGGTATTCCTAGTAGCATGGTTTCCTGAAGTAATGTATATATCTGGTTTGTTTCTTATTGTCATGGGACTAAATCACATGCTGAGCTTTACTTTGGCTAGTAACATAAGGAGTAAAATCATACAGAGGAGATTTAATATGCCAGTGATAGAGGAAAAGAACAAATTTTAGCCTTTCAATACTATTCTAGTTTGGAAGAACAATATAAAAGCTTCGACATGGTGGCAGCCCCAACCAAAGCTGAGGGGAAGAGACCAGAGCAAAGAGAATTTAAATGCTTCAGTTCAGGCTGTTTTGGGTGAGACATGGCAGAGCCTCTTCTTCGCTCATTTTCATCAGCTCCAAACAAAGGTTTTGTCATAGGCTATGATAAAACAAATTGTTTTTCCATATAAAATAACTATGCTTCCTTATTGCACACTTACACCAATATATGGAAAGACTGAACATTCTAAACAGGTCAGTTGTCAACAGCTTGTAAATCAGGGGGTTTTTAAAGCAGCATTAGTCATGAATTGTTTTAAACTTAACAAGTGAAGACTCAGGCAGGAAATATGATGCATAAACAGGAACAAAGTCTTTAACACAGCATTCAGTAAATACACCAGTCGAAGACTAGCCAATCTGTTAGTAACCATCATCAACAGTTCTAAACACAACTGCTGGTTGTACAGTGTATGCACTCCCAGTGATGTCTGTGTAGTTTGCTACTGAGAAATGAAAACCATTTTTTCTCTCTACTACTCTTCAGCAGTCATGCTTTTAAATATAGCTTCCTTCCTCTCCAAATTTTTATGGTCCAAAACCTTACTGCAACTTTTGATTGTACATTCCTTATGACTGAAAACAAATGCTACCAGTTCCCATTTATGTGCTGGGAATACGCATATACATCCCCCTCGTTCAACTTTTATTAGTAGTAAAATAGTCACTGAAGAGATTCAACTGCAAAATACGGCCTCCAAATTTGGTACATATTAGCACATGAACTTGAGGAGAGGTGAACCTTTCAGAACCCTGAAATGGCTGCACTGAAATCTCAGTGGGGAAACCCCAACTACTCATAGCAAAAGACCAGTTTGCTCCCCCTTAAGAAATCCAGCTCTAGAGTTACCTTTATGCTTATATTTACTGGTAAAAATCACATGAGCATCTCAACTCCTATTTGCAGGGGCAAATTTGAGTACCAAATGCATTCTCAGAATTGTGCACTGGAAAAGGGAGTAGATGGGACAAACACTGAGAGAAAAATGTGTAAAGTGGTATTATGTTATTAAAACCTTACATTAGAAACAAACAGAAAATAAAATAAAAAAGAAGTTTTAACCAGGTTTAACTTTGCTTTTTTCTTCTTTAAATTCAAACTGACCCAAAGCAAAAACTTCCATTGCAAAAGAAGAACAAAATGCAGTGTGACACTGGTAACACAGTGTTGCATGGAAGCTAAGACTTGTGGCCAGGTCACAAGCTGCTCTTGTCACAACGTCACTGCGGCATCTTGACAGATTTAACTGAGAAAGTTAGGATCCAATGTTTCCACCTAGCCCAGGTCCACCCTGGTTAAACACTACATATTCTCTTTTGCCTCGGGGTATTTATCCAATGAGTTTGTCCAGATGTGTTCTCCTATGATTGCCAACTAAGAGCCAGAAAACTGACTTTTCCACGCTATCCCAAAGAAGCCGGAGTTATTCCAAGCATGAGTGATAACGAATTTGAAAACCAAACAAACCCCAAAGAAAAGAACAAAAAGAAAACCACTCAAGAGTTGTTCAAACTAACAAGTATTGTCTATAATGTAAATAGTTTAGAAATATGGTAATTAAATAATCTAAAAAACACTCTTAACTCTGCTGTACATTTATAAACATCAATATTTACAAAAACTTTCTGCTTTGTTTCAAAGGATGAGGTTTGCAGTTTGTTAATGATCAGAGTCTTTTACTCAGATTGATTCTTTGGTGTCTTTGCCAATTTCTTAAGGTTTAATAAAAGTGTCCAAACTGTGAATTTTAAGGTAATGGAACCAGGCTACATAAGGAGTCTGTATTATGCACTTCTTCCACATTCTAGTTCGAATGAAAAGCAACGTTCAGCGTGTTCTTCGAAGTATTTGTGCACAATATTTAAAAGAATAAAAGACCAAATTCCCCATTATTGAACTTTGGAGAGGATTTTCAATGAATAATCACACTTCACTCGCACTCCAGCACGTGTAGAACCTCAGATAGTGAATGGGACCATCAGAAGGTTCAGGCATACACATGTGCTGCTGTGCTTTGTGGAATCAAGGTCAGAGAAACCAGCTACAAGAGATGGCTTAGCATTGTAAGTAAGGGCGAGGGCTCCCCTCCACCTTGGGGACGGAGGAGAGGATGAACATTAATTTAAAAGAAAGGCTTTTACTGGCCTGAAATATGGGTGTTCCCTTTAGATGTCAGTTACTTAAAAGAAATAACCAAAAAACAAACCTCAAACAATAAATAATGGAATTACACATTTCTTCATTAAATAGCATTCTTGTTACCAACAAAGTCTTCCATAATTTTCTTCAGTCACAGCAACAGACAAAACAAATAATTTGCCTTAATATAGATTGCAACTAAAATATACTCTAGATTACCTTAGAAAATATTACTGTAAAAATTCAGTGGGGAAGGACATTGGTTTAAACCAACTTACAAATGTAGCGAACAATGATACTTTCTTTTTTTAAGAACAAAGCAATTTTAAGGTCCTGATCTCACAAAACTGAAAATCCATGCTTAAAACCTGCCACTCAATTCTTGATTTCTGTGCTGTCTCAGTACTGGAGAGCTTAAAGACCATGATCTGATCCTTCTTCCTTCAATGGGAGCTGGTAAGACACCATCACGCACCCACTCTCATGCACACCCATCCTCTTGGGTTGCCCCTGCTACTGTGCCACCACCATTACATACAACGTGGAGGAAGCACTATGAAGCTCTACTGCCTGGAGGTGACCACCACACACACTGCGTGGTGTTAAGGTTGGACATCCTTCTTCAATCATGCTGCTGAGACATGGACTTTTGGTCACTGCTCAAGCAGGCTGGACTTGAACCGATATAAGCTGGTGACAAAAAGGTTCAACACCCCATTACCAATCCTCTGAGCCGTGAAACTCAGAAATCACTTATTGTTTGGAAACCTGATGCGATGTCAGGCACAATAGGGAGAGATAATCCTCCCTGCTTGCCATAGTTCCGGTGCATCCATTAGCAGTGGTACAGTTTGTGCTCAAGGAACTGCAGTCCAGGGTTATAAGATATTAAAAGGAATTAGCACAGTTAAATAATATGAGTATACCTGCTTCACCTGCTTTTCGTATTTTTAATATTAAATATTTTGAAAGTGACAGTGTTAAACTGAAAAGCCACCACCGTTCCTTTCATCTCCCCATTTCCATTGGTATCACTGATACAAAAGTACTCCTGATATTAGAGAGGCTCTTTTGGAGCAAAAAGCAAGTAGAGGACACTAGCAAGAACCTTACGATGACTCTATAATTCCTTGAAAATAAAGAGAGTGAAGCAACTGCACATTTTGGCCCCATCTTTTTTTGACAGCAAGAACTTTTCTTTTTATAATCAGAAAAACTGTTTGATAGATTATTGGTTTTATACCTAGCTTGTAAACCACATTCAGTAGCTGAATTTCAGTGTTCCTTTCATTTGCTGCTTTAAGACTAATTGCAAAGTTTGAACTTGCAATATGAATGGGGTTTTTCTTGTTTGTACACATTTAAAATGCATTGTCATAACTTATGTGCACTTCCCTCTCTCTAACCTGAAGCAAACTGAATTTCAGAGCAAGCGAGAAAAATCTATCACTGCTTTTGATACAAAAGGGTTTGGGCCAATTTCTTTCCTTTTGTTTTTCTGAGTGGACCCAATTCGGCTGAGAACCCGTAGCTAAAATTCCAACTGAAAGTGAAATAAAGCAGGTTATACATTCATGACATTTCGGGAGTAATAATGAACAGCAACTGCAGCATCACTTCTGTAATGTCACATCGACACTACAGCGAGGCAGCACTTCCTGTTCTCACAAATAATGCACTGAGACTAAATGAGGAATAGTGGGGAGGAGGAAATCACACATAAAGGGAAAATACGTCAGAAAGATTATTGCACAGGAGGCACTGTATGAGAAACAGAATACATTGGCGTCAAAAAAAAATAATCTAAATTTGTATACTTTTAAGTTAATGTAAAAAACCACAGAGGCTATGCCTCTTTGTAGTGTACTGTCACTGTTAGAAACAGACTTACAAACAGCCGCCCATTTAATAGGGAATGTCAGGAAAGAAGAGGGCCTGAATTTTATGGGCATCCCAACCAACTACAGTAATTAGAAAAAGAATAAGATAAGAAGAGCCAATGTATAGACCCTCAAATTAAATAGGGTAACCGCATTTTTTCCTTTAATTTCCAAATCATACTCGTACAGTACCCTAGGACACGTTGATTATCAACACTTCCCTCTGCCCTGCAAAACCACACACCCTGGCAGACACGAGACTCCAAAACACACAGCAGGGCTCTGAAGGTCTTTCTATTGGTATCTTTCTGCAGGACCGGTGCCTTGATTTCCAGACTTTGTTTGCTTGAATAGTTGCTCAGCATGCCAATTCAAACCAACCACTTCCCTTGAGAGGCTTCCTTCCATCTCCACTGCAAGTCTGCACGCTTAATGTGAAAACAAACAAACAAAAAAGAAACCCAACAGCAATCTTTAAAATGTAATATTGTATAGAAAGCTTGGACCTTGTAAACTTGGACCAAGAAACCAAAAATTAAGACCTTCTAGCGTGTGGTATAAAAACCCCAAGGAATTGTATACCTGCCTTCTGACTTCACAGAAAAATCAGAATTTGCATAGGATATACTTTGTGCAAGGCAACAAGCCTCTTCAGTATCTGGAATATAACTAATCTTGCTCAGAGTTCTTCTCTTCATGGATATCAGATATCATCAAATTTGTGTTTTAAGTAGTCTTTCATGACCTTGGCAATGGGTAGTTCATCAAGTAGTTTTAGGTTTTGAAGGCCTATACACTGACGGATTTTAATTCGGCATAGATCTTGCAAGTTCCTGGGCTGTCCTGAAAAGACAAAAGGAACACATAAAAGTAAAATGATCACATTTTAAACATACCTTAAGAGATCATTTTTACTCAGTAAAATCACAGATGTTTGCTGCATTCTAAGAGGCAAATGGAAGGGAAAAGTTACAAGAGAAAAAGGGTGGAAGTTAACACCTTTCTGATGAACAAGAATAATTCAGTGAAATCAAGGGATGAATCCTAAAACTATTTTTGCCTGTACATAATTCTACTGATGCCAATGCAAAGTGACATTACCCACATGAAGATTCCCGTGAGGTGGCAAAACACACTTAAGCACTGTAAGAAACACCGTTAACGCCTTCATTTAACTTTCTGGGGCCTTTTTCCTATCACTGTAACCTGGGGGTGGGGAAAAAGCCCTCAGTCTCAATCCTTTTCAAACATTAAGACAAAGACTCCTACATTCAACTATAACAGCACTAGGCAGCTTCCTTAGAGACTGAGGCTTTACAAAGTTATTCCAGGATCGCGTGGCAGAGTTAAAGATTGGTTTTAGCCCTTCTAATGGGAAGACAAAGCCTTTAGGCTTTGGATGCAGCCACAACTCCATCAAACAGAAAGAGATGAAAATCCGAGTTAACCACTGTCCAGAGAGGAAAAACTTTACTGACAGCACACAAACTGCAGAATTTCTGATGAGGATTTGCCAAAATAATCAGTTCTTTTTCAAACTTCTTCTTAACAGGAAACTCCTCAAACTCAAGCACCTTGAAAAACTGTTCCCCCCCATGCACAATAATGTAAGAAAGGATAATCTGCATCTGAACATAGCCAGCCATGAATCCCAATGAAGAAAGAAAAAAGAGCAAAGCAACAAGACATTGAGAAAGCCTGTCCCAATATACCCTTCTAGCTTTCAGCACTGGGGCCTTTGGGCTTTCCTAAACCAGAGACTGCACACAGATCCATGTCTTTAATAGCTGTGAATGGCCTATCCTCTGCAAATCTGTCTTATGCTTTTTGAACCCATTCATACTTTCAGTACCCAAAACATCCTGTGGCAACAAATTTCACAATATAATTAGGCGTTGGCTGGAAAACTACAAAGTGCTGTTATTTATTTTAGATCTGCTTCCTGATGGCCTCGTGCCTGCTGACCATTCTTGGAGTGACAAAAAACCCCCACGTAATTGTTCTCATGCCAGTCATGATTTTACATACCTTTATATTAATCTCCATCCTCCACTCACGCTTGGTACCTCTTTCCAAAGCTGAAGACTTTATTTAATAACCTCCCACCATGGAAACCACTCCAAAGCTCTGACCTAACCAGCTGCCTGCCTGGGTGCTTCTTCCTCATTCTGCTATATCCTTTTGGAAATGATCCCAAGAGCACATTGAAGCTGTGCTAATCAATATTTTGATCATTTCCTTAACTGTGTCATGGCTAAAGAAACAAAACCAGAGGTTTACACAGTTATGGCACCTGATGGCTGTCTGAGTCAAAACACTCCATGAACAACATAGGTGCTTATGCTGGTCCCAAGATAATCTGTTGCTATAATCTGTATAATTGATAATGGTAAGAGACAGTGCTTGCTGTTGCAGAGAAAGACATGGTGATTTTACTGAGCTGCCTGCTTGAGTCAATCATTTCTTTCAAAATCAACACAAAACAACAAAAGCAACTTGAAATAACTTAGATGGACATTTCCAATTAGCTTTCCTGAGCTGCCACCCATTAAGCAGGATGTTTTTGAAAGAGGAAATGCCTTCCGTACAGGGCTCAAAGGTGGCTTTACAGTGGTCAGTAGGATGCTGTCAGCTCAAGGGGCACCAGCCTGTGAGGAGGAGACCGGAGGGTTTTTCTCTCTGGAGCCAGCCCCAGCGCTGGCTTCAGAGCCAGTCCCTTCTTCCATCCCCCTCCTAGCTCAGCAATAAACCTTCTATCAGCTAAATAGACATTGACATTATGAGTTTATTAGGCTTCCATGGTAAGCACAAAGACATTACGAAACTATTTCCTGTTTTCTACTTTGGGCATTCTGTACATGGTTTCAGTTACCCTTTTAGTGAGTTCCTCCTCTCCCCCCCCCCCCTGCACATGGGTTTTTCTATAGAAATGGGCTGACAGACAGGTACACATTGGGATTTACCTTCAGCACCAAAATTATCTGAGGTAAGCTAGCAGAAGTAATGCATGAAAATAGTCCCAGCCTGTTTTTAAAGAAATTAGATTTGAAATTAAGAACATGAAAATTTGAGTTTCTTTGATATAAGTTTAAAATACTTTTATTATACTTATCACCACAATATCTAAATGTAAACTGAGTTTTAATTATATCCTTCAGCCGTGACTTAGAATACACATCATGTGTTACTTTGCCCACTGGTGGTTTCTTCGTAGCAATTTATTTTATCCCACCTGAAGGAACGAATGTATACAACTTGGACAGCAGCTGAATGCTCAAGCTTCGGGGAAAGAAAAGTTACTTTTGGAAAGAAACCAAACAGAAGAATCTTCATGGTGATAAAGAAATAGCTCTAATGCTTGAAATGCAAATGCAAACAAGGCTCAGAAAGGATGCACCATTTCTAAAGTTAATTGCAAAAAGCAGCCTTAGAGGATATAGAGGACTTCAGAGCTCTGTGTATTTTCTGTAGTAGAGTACAATAATACAGCAATGAGACACTGATTTCTGGTTTCAGAAATTAATGCATTTTAATTAACATCCTACGGGGTTTTTTGAGATAAAAATGGAACAGACAACTTAAAACACCCAGAAGAAATTGGTCATCAGCTAATTCAAAAAGACCCGATCGCCAAATGTATGACATTTTCCCCCCATAAGCCTAAAAATATTTCCTGGGAATGTGTTAACAATGGACATTTCCAGTGTTCAGCACCAGTTGCTACATCTAGTGGCTGTTAGTGTCTTAGGTCACGCCTTGCAAATTCCAGGGTTATTAATGCATTTGTGATTTATTAGAAACGGTGTCTGGAACACTTACTCATTCTTGGTTGCATCTGAATGAAAAAGGGAAAAAAAAATAAAGGATTACGGAGCAATGTCAGTGAACCTTGGTTTGGCAAATGAAAAATGTTATTAGTAATTTGGCAAAGTAAGACAAGTTAAATGATGAATAAAGTTCTGCTTAAAAACGATTAGGAATTAGCAGCTTTGCTTATACCCTGCATCACAAGTTCAGAAAGTTATTTAAGCAAATAAGCTAGAAAGGAAGAGAATTAAAGATAAAAGAAAGAGAACCCCCCCAATAAATATAAAGGTAAGATTGACACCATTACCACCATCATGCAAAACAGTCACATAAAACTACTCATCACCTTAAAAAAAGCCCCAACACATCCTTGATCCTGTCTCAAAAGGGACACCTCTGAAGTAGCCAGGTTATTGTTGGGCTGTTACATAGCCCCAGTTACCATTAGGGCAGCAAATACCTGCTGCTGTTGTATTTTGCAAGCTTTAGAGTGATAATCAGATAAATTAAAGGTATTAATTATAGGGGAAAAAAGAGAGCCGTACAGTTCATCTTTTGTCTTCCACAGCTCGTGCTATGTGCTGTAAAGTAGAAATTCCCACCAATGCACCTCTTGTGTGTGTTTTCCTGAACATGACAGAAAAGTTTCTTTCAAAGAGAAGAAATGTAAAACATCAGGATACAAAAGAAAGAAGAATTGCCTTCTGATTTTTTCTCTCTCGAGGCAGCAGACTTCAGTACATATAAAACTGAGGCATTTTCCTAGCTCAGCTCTCCAACTGCTAACAAAGTTCCTGAGCTGCTTTTTTTTTTTTCTCCTTAAATAACTAATAATTATTTTTAAAGCCTCAGTTCATTATTTAAGTAAATTATGATTAATATATTGGCCTTGTCTGATAAAGCAATGTTTTCACAACATTTAACATGCCTTTTAAAATGCATGTTTTAACAGCAAGAAATTATTACAATTAACCCTGATTTCCCACTCAATACTCCATTCCTTTCCTTTTTAGAGTTTCAAGTGTTTCTGTTATTCTATCTGGCAGTTTGCTCTTCTATCCCAGAGGCAGACAAAACTTACATCTAAGATTTACTACCTATACAAAGAAGCGTATGTCATCATTACAACTGCCCCGCAGCATAGGCACTTAGACTGTGACTGCCTGTTTTTCCTATGCAGACCATGCCCCCCAAGAAATAAAACACTAACTCACTTAATAGGTCTCTAAAGATCATACAGACAAAATGTTAGACTTCATACCTCTGACAACACTGATTTTTAGAAACTCTCGCCCAGTTTTAAGCAAAAGCATTGTAAAGGTGTAAAGAGAGAATCCCTACCAGTGCTCTCCACTGAAGATACAGAGCACCCGCACAAAGCAAAACCCATGAACTGATCTATTCTGTTACCCAAGATAAAACCTAGGAATAACTGAAATTAATCTACTTGTAGGCTGCAAAAAGATCCTCTCTGATGTACTGTTCCACCTACTAAACAAACCAAAAAGTACTTTAAAAGCAAACAATCAGTGCCATTTGAAGCAGACAGGCAGTTTCTAAAGAAGTCAAAAGATGAAACAAAACACTAGGGATGTATTTCAGAAGCTGCCCATAGTTTTCTCTAAAATATTAATGCACTGCTCTTCAAAAAAACCCTACACAACTTAGAGTGGTGTTTCTCAAACTGAGCTTCTGCTTCCCCTGGGAATTTTTAAAGGCTGAAAGCAGCAGCAAGAAACCATTTGGTATTTTCTCTTTTGCTACAAAGGAAACTTAAAATTAAAGGTTTTGTGAAACATTAAAAACAAAGTTTAAGCCAGGCTGATGTATGGCTGGTGGCAGCTCAGTTCCTCTTGAGTATCAGAATAAATACTTACATCCACAGCTAACTATCAAACCCATCCTTTATTTCACAACTGCGAAGGAACTCTGCTAGTGCCAGCATAAATTTAGTTATGGTTTTGTTGGCTTTTTTTGGGGGTGTATATTTCAAAAATATAATTGACCTTATCAATTGGAAACTCATGTCCACCAGC